GTGGCGGTAAGGAGTTTAGTTTGTGATAATTGTAACGTTGATATTAAAACTAATACTTCTTTTCATAATAATAATAATATTAATAATAATTGCAGTTTGATATAGCTCTTTTCACATCTTCTAGACGTCTCAAAGCGCTTCTCGGAATATACTGTAAAGTGAATCGTCTGTTTGTGGGCGAAACGCGTCAGAGAATTGAGCACAGCATATGTCCCACAAACAGTCATGGATTGACTGACCAAATTATTATTTACAGGGAGTCATTAGATCCTAGCGATAGGCAGCCTCACACATATGTACACATACTGAGACAGACTGACAAATACATGCACAGAGCCAGACTGACGCCACAAAGAGTTTTACAGAGAGAGAGAGGTGGGGAAGAAAGAAACACACAGTCAGTCCACTATATTGTTTATCATATGAAGCGCTGGAAACATCCTGATGATGTGATAAGGGAAACGCGAGGAATACTCCTATTTCTATTTCTATTACTGTTTGAGCCTGAGGGACTGTGTCACATGCCCGGACATGTAGAGCATATTAATTTGTTTGTTAAATCACCGGAAAGTAATTGCCAACTAATTAGCCACCGATTACTCTTCTGTATATAGGTAAGTGTTCTTCGAAGTTGCGTAACTTGACAGCCCATTTGCGAGTGATCTCTGCTATCCTACACATGGGTTACCAAGGTGTTTCGCTGGTCGAAGCAATTTATTACCCTATCCTTGCCATTGTTGGCATCCCCGGTAAGTTATCTCTCCGTCCAGGAGTTAGAGCACTGGCCTCACAAGCGACAGGATCTCTGATCAATTGCCAGATGGCACAGAACAGGGAAAAACCTCAGGCAAGTTTCCTTACTCCACACACACACTGACACACGCACACGCCTCTGTTTACCATCAATCAGTAGCAATCCTTTGGTTCGTGGATTGGCGGAGCAATTTCCTGGGATAATGATCACTTCAAGATCACAATAATGATAATTTAGTCACTTGAATCACGGCTGTATTCAAGCGATATAAATGTTATCGATCATAATGTCAATGGTGAAATCATACGATTGACACAGAATCTCTCACCACCGGAGGAAGCATCACAGCGCTACACAGGGATGGATTTTAAATTGTAGTGACTGCCTTTTTTTTGCATCCCAGTTAACTCCACACAAACAGCTGTGAAATAATAGAGAAGCTTTACCTGTCGGCCAGGACAGAGAGAGAGAGAGGGTGGCAGGTAGGTGGATAGGTGGATAGATAGATAGAGAGATAGAGAGAGAGAGAGAGAAAGAAACGGAAAGTCATAGACAGAGAGATAAAGAGGTAGAGGCAGACAGAGAAAGATACGGACAGACACACAGTGACAAAGAGAGAGAGACACGAAGGGACAGGCAGAGTGAGCAGAGAGAGGCACAGAGGAAGAGAGCATTTCTTTACACTTCGTTTAATCTGCCATTCCCAGTGCAGACTGCAGATACTCGCAGACTCTAAGTGATATTCTCCAGTCCTAAGATAATCCCCAGACCATTACAATCACCCCAGTGATTGATTGTGAGCATGTGTATTTGAGGGTGCGTGTTTGGAGACAGTGCAATCTTTTTCCCAATCTCAGTAACATCTCCATATCTGTGTGCCTCTTCCATTCTAATCAGTCAATATGGTGGCCATTTTCGTGCTGTGTCGAGGTGACTGTGGCTTATCGAGGTGCGTCACCCGCTACCTGTCGGCCATGGCCATCGCTGACCTGATGGTCTTGGTAACTGACGTGTTGCTGAACAGATTGAACCGCCTGTACTTCCCCTCGAGTTTCCTCCTCTACACTCCGGTGTGTAGCCTGGGGTTGGTCCTAATAATGGCGTCTCTCAACGCCTCCGTTTGGTTCACCGTCGCCTTTACTTTTGACCGCTGTGTTGCCGTGAGCTGCCAGCGTCTCAGAGCGAGATATTGCACCGAGAGGACGGCCAACACAGTCCTGCTGATACTCTCCCTCCTCGGCATTGCGGAGGCCATTCCGTGGTACTTTATGTTCCAACCTCTGCTCGTCATTAACGGGCTGCCGATGTATTGCATTGAACGCCCCACTCTGAGCACCTCACCGACCTGGGCCGCCTTGCGACGTTTCGACCGTCTGGCGAACCCGTTGATCCCCATCGTCGCCATCTTGCTCCTCAACGGCTTGACGGTCAGGAAGATGGTGAGCTCCAACAGGACCAGGAGAAGGCTGAGAGGCGCGAGCGCAGAGTACAGAGACCCGGAGATAGAGAGCCGCCGACGGTCCATTGCTCTCCTCTTTGCCATCACCGGAAGCTTCGTGTTGCTGTGGTCGAACAGCGTGGTATATTTTCTGGGCTGGTCGCTACAGAACTACAGCTACCTCGCGGGCGGGAGAGAAAGCCCCCTGTATATTGCACAGCAAACAGGCTTCATGCTGGTGTTGCTCAGTTGCTGCACCAACACTTTCATCTACGCCGTCACCCAGACCCGGTTCCGCCAGGAGATCATAAAGGGCGTCGAGGCTCTCCTCGCTCTGACTCCTTTACACACCTGTCGCCGTCAGTAAGACGGGAAGGCAGCAAACGCAACAGTTTCGGGGTCTGTCGCCCCTGTTCGTCTGTGTGTCGGTGTGCGCGCCAGCCCGGCTCCGAATGTGTGTGTCTTCCTGCATCCGTGTGTGCATTAGCTCGGATCTGTGTGTATTTGTTTAGAGCAATGGTTGGAGCACTCGCTTTGAAAGCCAGAGACCTGGGTTTGATTCCTGGCAGGTCAGGGCGAAATCTTGGGCAAGTTTCGTTAGTCCTCACGCTGACCGTAAATCCTCATTGAAAAAAAATCAATTGTTCGCTTTAATCCACGACTATTTGTGACTCGCTGCTGTGCGCAATTGGCTCCAGCGTTTGGCCCAAAAATATAGTCAATTGACTCTGTTATATTCTCTGAAGCGCTTTGAGACGTATCGAAAACGTGTAAACGCAAGATTTATTGTTATTACTATTATTTATGTGTTTTTATATGTGTATCAGTCTGACTCAGTGTGTGTATGCGTCAGCGCATGCCAGACAGCGTGTGCGAGACGGGGGCGAGGGGGAACGAGAGAGAGAGGAGGGGTAAAGAAAAACACACAGTCGCTAAGCTTTACGGTATATCCTGTGAAGTTCTTTGAGACTTCTTGAACTTGTGATAAATCGCTGTGTCAAATTGTGGGATTGATATTGCACATATATTCCAAAGCTGGTCGGTCTTGTATAGAAACTAGATTAAAGAATCAATATGTCACATTAACTCATTTAATTTTACATCATTCGTGTTTTTATCAATCATACACTAATTCGCCCACCATCTGTTTCATTCTCTCTCCCGCACTCTCCCTTCTCTCTCGTCCACACTCTCCCTCCCTCTTAATCTCTCCCACTCTCCGCCTCGCAATCCCCCTTCTCTCACTCTCTCTCTGTCTCACTCCCCTCACTCTCTCCCCGTCCCACTCGCCTTTTCTCCCCCTTACTTCGGCCCTCTCTCTCTCTCTTTCTCTCCACCGTTGCTATCCACACCCCAATTTCCATCTCACTGCCCATTTCGCTTTCTGCTGTCCACCCCCACCCCAGCTCTCCCTCTCTCTCTCCTGCCTCTGACACCCCCACTATCTCCACAAAATATGTAAAATATTTGATTCGAATAAATGTAAACACAGATTTTTACGCTACAATAATAAAAATGATATTAATAAAAATAGTTATCCTTGCATTTGATTTAACTCTTTTCTCGTTTTCCAGACCTCTCAATACTCTTCGTAGAACAGACAGTATAGACAATTGAATGTATATTTGTGAGCAGAACTCAGAATCAGGAACACGCATGAAGCTATTCATATAAATGGAAGTTATTGCTGTTCTTGTTTTTGAAAAGAAAATTGAAATAATGAAACAAAGAACACATAAAAAGCAGCTCCCGTGGTGAAATAGGTCAGCGCGCGGTACATATATGACATGTATTGCTCGAGAAATGCCGAGGCCGTGAGATAGATCCTCACCTAAAGTAGCCCTTTTCATTGGTTTTATTCGAGTGAATTGTATCCGTGGACATCAATAGTGGTAATGTTTCATTACTCCACAAGCCAAGGTTACTTAGCAATCACTAGCAACTTGGTTGTCATTCGATTGGCGAAATACTTATCTGGCGATAAAAATCCTTCTAGAAAACATAATAATTTGGTCAACTCAATCCACATCTGTTTGTGGGACACTGATGTGCGAAGTTGGCTGTCGCGTATCGCCCACAAACGCCGCAGCCAATTGTACACAGCAGCGTCCCACAAACATTTCACGCTCGCACTTCTGTACTTTACTGACATTATAACTTCTAACATTCCCAAATGAAACGCTCACCTCCTCCGCTCAGCCTTCTCCTGCCTCCTGTTTCTCTCTGGTCTCCTCGAATCCAACATCAGTTCCCATGCATTTAGCCGCTGCAACACGAAATTTTGGAATTCTCTGCTTCATTCCCACTGCCTCTCCCACCCCCCCCCCCCCACCACCACCCCACAAAACACCCAACCCCCTGCTCCCTGCATACTCTCAAATGCTACCTAAAGACACTTTGCTCAGGGTAAGGGACACGTTCAGGTTTAATATAGTTGAACGCCAACCGCAGCCCCAGCGCAGAATATAAATCAGCCCTCCATACTGATTGACATCCATCCTGTTTTGTTGTGTAGATTGTTCTAGCGCCTTAGAACATCCTCCCCAAGGGAAAGGCTCTCAACAAATGCCCGTCTGTTGTACTTTGTTTTGTTGATCATGCTTAAGGTCACCTACCCACTCACGCTCCCATGAATTGTTTCCAGAGTCTGCCATTGTCATGCGCTCCGATGTTATCCCACCTGAAGGGCACTGTACATAAATGTTTTTGTTATTTGGTTTACCAATATCTGTCTCTCCCTCAGCCTCGCTGAGGCCATCAATCCGTCAAACTCTTTCTCAACACACATTCCATCAAATTAGTCCGAAGATCTTTTATTTGCACCTATTTATTGCTTGCTGAAAATGCATCGAGAAAATCTCCACACAGCAAAAGCGTCAAACACAATTTATTATCGGCATCATTAGCAAAACCATGAGTGGCAGACGGAATGAGCTGGAGAATACAGCTGCATTGTGGGGCAGGGAGCGCAAGCAGAGAGAGAGAGAGAGAGATGGGGAATAGGATTACTGGAGAGATCTCCAGTGTGGGGAAAGCGAGTACCAGCAGGATGGGGAAGAGGGAAATTCAGTCTCCACACATCAGCCTCCGCGGCACTTTTGCACCAAAATGACACGAATGCTATCCTTCATGGTAATGTCGCAAAGCTTCTCGATCTCCCTCAGCTCCCTTTTGCAGTAGAGGATCTGGGATTGCACCGGGATTCCCATTTACCGGGATATCGCCTCCTTCAGCTCGGAGACTCTCACCTGCCTAGGAATCTGCAGAGCGCTCTGCTTCGCCTCGCAGTTCTGCACATAGACAGTGATGTTCGGGGGAGTTCTACGAGCGTTGGAGGCCAGCGGGTCAAACACCCCAGGGTGGAGATGACCGGCCGTCAACTTCACCCCCTCCTGAGGCTTTTGAGCTTCAGAACCCCTCGGCAGGGACACTCCCACCTCCTGAAACTTAACAAAAGAACAGCTCAATGACAGGCATCTTAACCCGCTGTGTTATACAGACCAATTATTATTCATAACTTCAGTAAGACTTGTGCCAACCGAACACACTGAGTGTGTGCCAGCCTAACTCAGTCACGTTTGACTGAGATAGGCTGGCACTGGCTGAGTCGCTGAGTGCCAAGCTACCTCAACGACTGTGTGCCAGCTTTGCTCACTCACTGTGTGTTAGACCAGTTGAGTCAATGTGTGTCAGCATGATGCACTGACAGTTTGCCAGCCTGGTTGAATCATTGTTTGCCAGCCTGGCTCAGTGACTGTGTGCCAGCCTGGCTCAGTGACTGTGTGCCAGCCTGGCTCAGTGACTGTGTGCCAGCCTGGCTCAGTGACTGTGTGCCAGCCTGGCTTAGTGACTGTGTGTTAGCCCAGGTGAGTCACCGAGTGTCAGCATGATTCATTGACAGTGTGCCAGCCTGGTTCAGTCACTGTGTGTCAGCCTGGTTCAGTGAATGTGTGTCAGCCTGGCTCAATGACGCTGTATCAGCCTGGCTCGGCGACTGTGTATTAGCTTGGCCCGGTGACTGTGTGTCAGCCTGGCTCGGTGACTGTGTGTCAGCCTGGCTCAGTGACTGTGTGTCAGCCTGGTTCGTTGACTGTGTGTCAGCCTGGCTCAGTTGACTGTGTGTCAGCCTGGCTCAGTGACTGTGTGTGTCAGCCTGGCTCAGTGACTGTGTGTCAGCCTGGCTCAGTGACTGTGTGTCAGCCTGGCACAGTGACTGTGTGTCAGCCTGGCTCAGTCACTGTGTGTCAGCCTGGCTCAGTCTCTCCCGAGTAAGAAGTCAGTTAGTTTGAATCTCCCCAATACACGCTTGGGCTAGGCTGGTGCGTTGTCTTCGCTGCCTGTCCAGCGCTGGCGCCAGAAATAGAGTTTCTTTATGTCCTCCTCAGAGCGAATGTTATAATAATAATCACTGCATTTGTAACGCTAATCAAGTCTTTTAGACATCTTAAAGCGCTTCTCAGAATGCACCGTAAAGTGAATTGACTGTATGTTTCGTGGACTAAACGCGGCAACCAATTACATACAACAGTGTCCTACCAACGGTTGTGCAGAGTGATCAATTAATATGGTTTAGATTTTCTTGAGAGATTATTATACGGTGTCTGGAGTATGGAAACTTCCCAAGATTTCACCCTACTGGATGTCGATTCAAGGTCTCTTAATTGCGAGGCAATTTATCTAACCACTGAGCTAACCTGGACTAAATTAAAACAACTAACAACAACAACAACAACAACAACAAGATTCCATTTATAGAGCGCCTTTCACGTCAGGAGGACGTCCCAAGGCGCTGCACAGTTGGGTCATGACCCGAGCAGGGGGGAAATGGTAAGGGTGAGGGGAGGGAAGGGAGGGAGAGAGGAGGGGGGAAATGGTCCGGGTGAGGGGAGGGAAGGGAGGGAGCGAGGAGGAGGAAGAGAGTCGAGAGGGGAGCTGAAGGCACGGTCAAAGAGAAAGGTTTTGAGACGGGCCTTGAAGGTGGAAAGGGAGGAAGCAAGGCGAAGGCACTGGGGGATGGAGTTCCAGAGCCTGGAGGCTGAGAGGCTGAAGGCCCGACCAACGATAGTAGGGCGGTTGGGGCGGGGGACGTGGAGCAGACCGGAGCCAGAGGAACGGAGGGTACGGGCAGGTAGGTAGGGGGATAGTAGGTTGGAGAGGTAGGAGGGAGCAAGGCCGTGAATGGCCTTGTAGGTGAGGATGAGGATCTTGAAATCAATCCTCTGGGGGATGGGGAGCCAGTGGAGGCGAGCGAGGGTGGGAGTGATGTGATCGCGAAGCCTGGTGCGGGACAGTACACGAGCTGCAGAGTTCTGAATGACCTGCAGCTTGTGGAGGGAGGTGGCGGGAAGGCCGGCGAGGAGAGAGTTCCCATAGTCCAGCCTTGAGGTGACAAAGGCGTGAACCAGGGTTTCAGCAGCGTGAGGGGTGAGGTAGTGCCGTAATCTGGCGATATTCCGGAGGTGATGGAAGGCGGTGCCAGTTGTGGTGCGGATGTGAGGGAGAAAGGACAGCTCAGGGTCGAACAAAACGCCGAGGTTCCTGACTGGCTTTGAGAGGTGGAGAGTGCAGCCTTGGATGCTGATGGTGTCAGCGCCTGAGGTGCGGAGGCGCTGACGTGAGCCAATCAGGAGGGCCTCGGTTTTTCGCACGTTGAGCTGAAGAAAGTTGTCTCTCGTCCAGGACTCGATGTCGGACAGGCAGGCTGTCAGGACATCGGTGGTCGTGGAGTTGAGAGTAGAGGAGGAAAGGTAGAGTTGGGTGTCATCCGCATACATGTGGAAGTTAACCCCATGTTTGCGGATGATGTCACCAAGGGGGAGCATATAGAGGGTGAAGAGGAGGGGACCGAGGACAGAGCCCTGAGGGACACCACAGGAGACAGTACGGGGGGTGGAGGAGAAGCCATTCGTTGAGACGAAGTGAAGACGGTGGGAAAGGTAAGAGCTAAACCATTCAAGGACAGTGCCTTGAAGGTTGAGGTGGGAGGACAAGCGGTGGAGTAGGATAGCGTGGTCGACCGTATCGAATGCTGCCGATAGGTCGAGGAGGACGAGGAGACAGAGGGAGCCCTGGTCACAGATGGTCAGGATATCATTGGTGACCTTGACCAGGGCAGTTTCTGTGCTATGAGCAGCACGGAAACCTGACTGAAGGGGTTCGAAAAGAGAATGGGTGGAGAGGAAAGAGCGCAGTTGGGAGGCGACAACTCTTTCCAAGACCTTGGAGAGAAAGGGGAGGTTGGAGATGGGCGGGTAGCTTGATAGCTGCGACGCATCAAGGGAGGGTTTTTTCAGGGTGGGCGTGATGATGGCAGTTTTTAATGGAATGGGGACAGAGCCAGAGGAGAGGGACAGGTTTATGATGTCAGTGATGTGTGGGGCAAGAAAATGGAGCTGGGAGATAAGGAGTGGAGTGGGGATGGGGTCAAGGGAGCAGGTGGTTGGTTTTAGGGATAGGATGAGTTCAGTGACAGAGGGTGGGGAAACGGGTACGAAGGTGTGTAGGGGAGGATGGGTAGGAGTCGGAGTGTGGGAGGGAAGGGGTGGGTGGTGGGTGGAAGTTGGAGGGGAAGTGACCGCGGAGCGGATTCCCTTGATCTTGGATTCAAGGAAATCCAGCATCTCCTCGCAGTGAAGGTTGGAGCAGATGACCTGCGCGGGGTGGCGGGGGGGACGGAGCAGTCGGGATGTGGTGGAAAACAGTAGCCTGGGGTTGTTCTTCGCCTCCAGGATTATCCTGGAGTAGAAGGACGACTTGGCCGAGGCTAGAGTGGAGCGGTAAATTTTGAGGAGGTCCAGCCAGATTTGTCGGTGGACCGTTAGGCCAGATTTGACACAGGTGCGCTCAGCAGCCCGCACCTGGCATTTCAGTGAGCGGAGGTGGGTGGTGTACCAGGGGGAGGAGCGGGAGTAGGAGACAGTGCGGGAAATGATGGGGGCAAGACTAACATGGGTTTCATGTTCAACTTCTTCCATTCCGCTAACTTCGGGAAAATGCAGTTCGTCTATCTTTCTCTTTTAGTACGCCTATCACTCTCAAAACCTCTCAGCTTCTCTATCTTCCTCCCTGTATTTTTCGCTGTGTTACTCTTTCTCTTTTTCTTCTCACTCAATATCTCGCCCCCAGTTTCTTTCTCTTTGTGCGTCTCTCTCTCGTTTAAAATCCGAGTTACTCTTTCTCTCTCGAAGTCTCTCTCACCTCAATCGCTCCCTTTATCTGTCTTTCTCTTAATCTCTTTCACTTTTTCTCTCGCTCCCTGAGATCATAATTCTTTCTCGCAGTCTCTCTCACTCTGTATCACACTCTGAGTCTCTGTCACTCTCTCCCGGTCTCTCGCCCATTACCTCTCTCTCTCTAACTCTTTCTCTCGCCCCCTCTCAGTCTCTCTCGTTAACTCTAACCCAAAAAACAGTCACTACACGTTATAATATATTCCCCCTCTCTCTCTCATTCTGGCACGTTTCTAGTGATCTAGCTGACATATAAACTGCTGTCTCTTGAACGTTTTCATCTAGACGTCTGAAACCGCTTAACAATATGTACTGTAGAGTGAATTGAATGTATATTTCGTGGGATAAACGCGGCATCCAATTGATCACGGCAGTGTCCTACCAACAGTTGTGCCTTGTGCGACCAATTTTCTTTGTTTTGAATTTCTTTGGGAATTATTATTAAGTGTGTGGAGTAAGGAAACTTGCTCAAGGTTTCACACTGCTAGGAATCGATCCAAGAGTCTTGCTTGCGAGACAAGTGATATAACCGCTGAGCTAAAAAACATGGGGTTCATGTTCAACTTCTCCCACTCCACTGACTTCGGAAAAATGCAGTTTCTCTCTCATTCTGGTTGAGTTTTATGCTACGTTACCCTTTGTCAGTTTTTTCTCTTTCGAAATCTTGGTTTCTCCTTCTCAAAATGTCTCCCTCCCAGTTTCCTTCTCTCTGTGCGTCTCTCTCTCGCTCAAAATCTTAGTTTCTCTTTTTCTCGCAGCCTTTCTCACCTCAAACGCTCCCCGTATCTGCTTTCTCTTAATTGCGAGCACATTTTCTCTCGCTCTCTCTCTGAGATCATAATTCTCTCTCGCAGTCTCTCTCAGTCACACTCTGAGTCTCTGTCACTCTCCCCCGGCATCTCTCTCTCTCTCTTTCTGTCTATCGCATATTCTCTCTCTCTTTCTCTCTAACCCTCTCTCGCCCCTCTCAATCTCTCTCTCGCCTCCGCTCTCTTTCTCGCTTTCTCTGTCACTGTGTCTCTCCCGCGAAACATATTCACTACACTTTATAATACTTTTACGCTCTCTCTTTCTCTCTCTCTCTCAAACTCGCACATTTCTGGTGACCTAGTTGACAGACAAAGCTGCTCACTGGACTGTGTTGATGGAGACGTCACTGTGAGTAAACAGGCGCTGCCAGGCTAAACACACAGTCACCACACTTACAGTGAGATTCTGCAAATCACTTTGAAATGTCATCAAAGGGACGGGAAGCGAAGGGTCAAACGTGAGATCGTTGTTACTGTATTGCCCAGTTAAAAATTCTTAGTCATTTCAGCATTAAATCTTGCCTATGTGAAATTCTTACCAGATCATATTTGACTGTGCGCTGCAGTGCCGTCATTCTTCTGTCTATTTCTCTCGCCCTCTCTTTCTCCTTGTGTTACAGGCTGCGGATGAGCTTCCGTTTTATAGCAAAGTTAATTGAAACCGGGGATTTCTCATAAAAAATACTCTTAAGAGCGCAAAATTGAAAGAGAAAGTCAGTTTATTGGATTAAACCGGTGTAAACTTGTTGTTCAATCTCTCGTCCTCTGGCCTCTGAGTTAAAAGGCTGTGTGTTCCATCTCACGCTTTGGAAATCTTAGTTTAATTTGGATACCCATAAGAATGGTGAAGGGTTTCCACATGTAATAGACACCCGGCTGATCCAACCCACCCCCAACATCTCCTAAAAAAAAATCTCGTTTCAGTTCTTACTGGCTGGATGGTTGTTACCAGCAACATCCTGGAGAGATTTCGTTGCAGTTTGAAAAAAAATCAATGAGTGTTATTATTAAATTCCCCTTTTAACATCAAATCTCTAATAAGTGAAACCATAATTATAACAATAATGCTTGCATTTTGATACGGCGCTTGTCACGTCTTCAAGACGTCTCAAAGTGCTTCAGAGCATATACTGTAAAGAATTGACTCTATGTTTGGAGGGCAAAATGTGGCAGCCAGTTGTGCACAGCAGCGTCCCACAAACTGTCGTATACTGAAGTGACCGATGTATTATTTTGTTTTCTTGAGGTATTATCATCAGGCTTTTGGAGCAAGGAAACATGACCTGGCGGGAATCGAACACATGTGGCTCACTTGCAAATCGAGTGCTCGAACCATTGAGCTGCGGGACTCCTTGTTTTGACACCGCAGCTTCTCTTGTCTTTTGACACATTCAAAGCGCTTCACAGAACATATTTTAAAGTGAGTTGTCTGTATAGTTTGAGGCAGCCGAAACTGAAACTATGTTCAAGTTGATTTAAGTAACCAGCCAAGTCCACAGTTTATTGCACTCATTTAAATACATACTTTAACATCAGAGAAAATTCCCCTTGATTTCGCAGCAATGTTTTTGTGCATAAATCACACATGGGGAAACCTGTCAATGTGATCGCTTTTTCCATAACTGTTTCTGGGAAGCTGATGTACACAACGGCTGCCATGTTTCGTCCACAAATATAGTGAGTTCACGTTACAGTATATTTTGGGAAGCGCATTGAGACGTCTCGAAGACGTCAAAATCGCTATATCAACTGCAATGATTATTTTTAAAGCATAAAATGTATGAGCAGGAGTAGGTCATTCGGCCCTTCGATGTTGCCCCGCCATTCAATCGAGGATGATCTTCTAATTTATCTCCAGCTAATAGCCTAACCCTACCTTTTCCCAATTTCTCTTAATCCCTTTTGCAAAAAGAAACATATCTATCTTAGTCTTGAATATGCTCAAGAACTGAGCGTCAACAGCGCTTTGTGGTAGTGAGTTCCATACATTCACTGCCCTTTGAGTGAAGAAGTTCTTCCTCAACTCAGTGCGAAAGGGCTGCCTCTGATTTTCAGTCTGTGACTCCTGGTTTTTGATTTCTCCAAACAGGGGAAACAATCTCCCACTATCTACTCTATCATTGCCCTTTGATGATCTTATAGTTTTCTATAAGATCCCTGCTAATTCTTCTATATTCTGAAGAATATAGGACCATATTGGTCAGCCTATCCTCGTAACTCATCCTCTTCATCCCTGCTATTACCCTAGTAAATCTGCGATGCTTGTCCCTCCAAAAGGAAATAATTATAAATTGGTCATTTTCAATCCACAACTGTTTGTGGGACACTGCTTTGTGCAATTGGCTGCCGCAATTCGCCCACAAATATACAGTTAATTCACTTTCAAGTCTATTCTGTGAAGCGCTTTGGAACAACGATAAGAATTGAAAATCGATGAGCCAAATGCAAGCACTATCACGATATTATTATTATGTTATTGTTATATCAATGCCTAGCAGAAATCTACCTATTTTTTGTCTTGAAATCAATTACACTTTCTGCTTCCGCTGTGTCCCTTGAGAAGGTGTCCAATAAGTTTTCTGTTCTCTCACTGAAATAGGTTTTCCACAGATGTCTGAATTTTCCCCGTTTCTGTAGAAGGCCGTGTCTTCCTCTACAGTTAAGTACAGAATAAAACAGTTTGCCATATCCTACATTATTGATTCTTTCAGAATCTTCAATATAAAACCCTGTCTCTGCTGCCTCTATTTGTGCCTTTCTTTCTCTTGTTTCCTCTGTGTTTCTGTGGACCTGTGTCACAACAACATGTGTCAGACACAAACTCTCAAACACAGAGAAACAAACGTTATCGCATAGAGACAGAAGTACAGAGACAAACACAGAAACACACACAGACATTGACACTAAAAAAGAAAGAGATAGACACACACAGAGTGATACAGAGAGACAGAGACACAAACACACACATATACAGACACACAAATGGAGACAAAATGATGCACACTCGCAGTGTCAGAGACAGAGGCATAGAGAGGTGCACACCCACAAACTCACAGACAAACAGACACACGGTGAGACACACGGAGGCACAGATAGACACATAACCTTTTAAAGTGAATGGAAACTCGTCACAAGTTACCAGGCAGATGGTAGTTCTAAAGGTTAGAAAGAGAAAGACCGACTTTATTACAGCTAATAGCTGACACATTATACACATACAGACACAACGACAAACACAGACACGGAGAGGAATACACAGTGACACACATAAGAAGACATAGACAAAAGTGAAAAAGAAAGAGCGAGAGAAACAGAGAGACAAACATAAAAACGGAGGGCACACACGCACACACACACTGAAAAACACGGACACACTCATACATTGTCATACACACACAGAGACAAAGTGTGAGCAAGAGATGCAGAAAGGTGAACGACAGAAGACATAGCGGTACACAGTGACAGAGATTCAGAGACACGAACACAAAGAATGAAATCATAATAATAATGCTTCCATTAAATTGAGTAGCTTCACAGTATATTTTACACACACTCATGCGCACACACACACAGTGACCAATAGGAGTCCTGTAGCTCAGTGGTTAGAGCACTCGCTTTGCAAGCGAGAGACCTGGGTTCAATTCCCGGCAGAGGGGGAAACCTCGGGCAAATTTCCTTACTCCACACACCTAATAATAATTCCTCCAATACAAATCAAAACAAATCAAATCTAACCGATTGTGTCCACCATGGTTGTTTAACTGCACGATTGGAGCCTTTGTATTTTAGAGGTATTTACGTATTTATAAATAATTTTTTGAATGCTTCCCATTGCTCATCTGCAGATTTACCCACTAGCAATCCAGCCCAGTTTTCTGCGGTTAATACCTGCTCCATTCCATTGAATTTTGCCTTACTTAAATTTAGCACCTTGGATTGGTACTCCCCCTTATCCCTCTCAAATCTTATGTCAAATTCAATCATATTATGATAGCTATTTGCAAGGTGTTTACTTATTGTCGCATTATTGACGACATCTGGCTCATTGCTCATCACCAAATCTAGTATGGCTTGTTGCCTTGTTTGCTCTAACAGGTATTGTTCCAAAAAGCTGTGCTAAATACATTACAGAAATTCGCTAACTGAGGTGTCCTGCTTCTCTCCAGTCTATGTGAAAATTAAAATCTCCCCTTACAACCATGTTGACTTTGCTCAAAGCTTCCGCGATTTCCGTATTTATATATTTCCCCATAAATCACAACTCTCTGGAGGTCTACAGACAACTTCACATGGAATCTTCCTTCGTTATTATTTCATTATTTCTACCCAAATTGTTTTCACTACCTGGTTGCCCATATTGTATTCTCTCATTTCCACTGTTGTAAGGGTCTCTTTAAACAACATTGTTATTCTGCCTTCCATCCTAATGTTCCTTTCTTTTCTGAAGATTTTACAGCTTCGAATATTTAGCTGCCAGTACTGCAACCACGTCTCTGTACGTCATACCCTTTGAGCTGAATTTGTACTTCCAGTTCGCATGTTTTATTTCTTATGCTACGTGCATATGTGTATATAATTTTCATTTGGGTAACTTTCATCAACTTGCCTACAGGCTCTGATAATATTTTTCTCTCACACTTTAATTTGCTACACGTTGTGTACTAACTTCCTATTACCATTATATTCCGATAGTGTTCATGTTAACTTGATCATTACTCTTGTCCTCTACTGGCCCTATATTGTTGTTATTTTTACCATCAAAAGAGCCCATCTGTTTACTATTTTAAATCCTTTTCAACAAGGGCTCCATCTATCTCACTATTTTTTTGTTTTGGCAGGACATTATTCCCAACCTGGGAACGTAGAACCCATCACCGCACAAAAGCTCCCGCTTCCCCCAAAACTGATGCCAGTGGCCCATCAATTGAAACTCCCACACCCCGCTTTCAGCCACGCATTTTTGCTCCTTAATCCTCCTTTCCCTGTAACAATTTGCACGTACTTTAGGTGGTAATAACGAGATTATTACCTTCGATGTTCTGCTTTTTTAATTTCACCCGGAGCTCAACCATTGCCCTCATTAGAGCGCCACTGCTATTCGTATTTATGACACTTGTTCCTATCTGGATCACAACAGTTGCTTCCTCCCCTTTCTGCCTCAAATTCTTCTCCAGCCCTGAAGAGATGTCCTTAACCCTGGCTCCAGGAAGGCAACAGATCCTACGCGACTCCTGGTTATGATCCCGGAGAAGAGAATGCCACCTCCTAACTGTCTTGTCCCCTATCATAACAGCATTTCTTTGTGCTTCCCCCACATGGCTGACCTCCAGCAAACAGCTTTCCTACTATGCGTAAGGGCTTCCACGTCAACACAGTTTGCAAGTACCTCATCTCTGTTCGACAAGGTTCAATCCCAAGGCTCCATCACCACTCTCTCAAGGATCCCGTTACCTGCCGCACTGATAGTCATACTCTCCTGTCCACTAACAAGATCGATACATTTACTGAGCCTCAGAGAAGTGACCGTTTTCTCCGTCATATTATCCGGGAAGTTCTCGTTCTCCCTGATGCAGCGCAGTGTCTGCAACTTGGATTCCAGCTCAGCTACTCGAAGCTGGAGCTTCCTCAGTGGCAGACACTCGTTGTGTGTGAAGTCGCCGGTGCTCAGAATGTCCTCCATCAACTCCCACATATTGTTTTCCTCGAACCACACCTTCCAGGCCGTCCTCTCCATTCTCTCTCTCTCACTCTGTATTTTAGGATTTTTTCTTTCAAAGTGTGTTTTTTTTAAAAAAATCCACCATGTATATTTAACCCCTTGGCCACAAGCCCAGCGTTGCAACTACTTCTGTACCTAATTCCCACTCTCACCCAATTCCTTCTCACTCTGGTTTCACCTTAGTCGCAGTTCACACCTGTCTAATCAAATGAGGCTCCCGCTGTTCTCCCCTTTATTTACCCCAACTTGTTATTTTTTCCTCATGTTAGCAGCAATTTATACTTAATTGATATCAGAAATCTGCGGACTGCGACTTGTTATTGTTAAGTTAATTAGACTAAATTTGTATTTGGTAAACTGACCAC